TACTGCCTTAGCGGCTGGATCTATGGCGAGACGGTGACAGGCGACCTCGGGGTCGAGTCCGGGCATCCCCACGGCGCTCCACGCGAATAAGTCAGCATTCTCGCGCAAGCAGGCTTTGATCTGCTTCCTTGCCAGGTCGGGGAGGTCGGTACCAATTTTCACTCCTTTGCTTGGGTCCTCGCCAAGGGGGACGAGCTCGAAGTCCCCGTACGGAATTGGCCGGAGGGGAATTTACTCGTCATAGGGAGGTTCGTCTTGATCGAAGCGGGTGTCCAGAGCTATGGATTCGACCTTTAGGGGAGCTCTCTGCTCTTCTGCTTTGACGGGCTCTGGTTTGTCGGGCTCTTGTCTTGTCGTTGTTGGTCTCTTGGAGAGCCTTGTCCCAGTGTTGACCGTGTCGCGTCCCTTGGATGCGGAATTGAAGCATCTTCGAGCAGCGGCCAGTTCCCCCTGGATGGTAGCAACCTGTGCCCTCTTGGTGTAGAATTTCATCTTCAAGTGGACGGTAGAGGGTACCGCGGTCAGCTCCGCTAGTGTTGGTCTTCCCAGGATGCAGTTGTAGAGGGACGGGCAGTCGATGACGAGGAAGCGCACCTTGACCTGCCTCGTCGCCATGTCTTCGTCGAAGGTAACCATGAGCTCGACATATCCCCAAGTTTTGGAGGTCGAGCCATTGAAGCCCTGTAAGTACGACCCCACGTACGGCGAGAGGTGCGAGTCGTCTAGCTGCAGAGTCCAGAATAATTGACTGTACATGACGTCGATGGAACTTCCTTTGTCGACGAGGACGCGGTGTACGTCAAAGTTAGCCATCCTTGCTCTTATCAGCAGAGGAATGACCGTGTTGGGGGATTCTCCAGGGAGCTCTTCGAGGTAAAAGGTGATAGGCTCCGACCTACCTTTCACCCTTTCAAAAGTCACCGTCTGAGGAGGTGCAGAGTCGACCAGTTCATCCAGCTTCCTCTTGGCCGAATTGATGGTTAGGTCGTTGAATCCTCCACCATTGATGACAATGGTGGAGGGAAAGTATTCCCAGCTGCTGTGTGTCGTGAGCGGCTCCTGCAGGTGTTCGGGGACGTAGAAGTCCTCCGATCTGGTGACGGAGAAGGTGGTCTGAACGGGGACCGATTCGTCAGATGGTCGGGCGTCCTCCTCCGGTTCTCTCGTCTCCCGGGCGTTGCAACGAGGAGCGTTGTTTCGCCGGTATTGGGTGAGCCTCCCTCCCTTGATGAGGGTTTCGATGGCGTCCTTGAGGTGGACGCAGTCTTCAGTCAGATGACCATGGCTCCTATGGTACTGAGAGTATTTGCTCTTGTTTACTCCGGGCTTGGCAGGAGCTGGTCGAGGGCGCTTGACGCCGCCATCTTTGAAATCCGTGCTGGCACACTCTGCCAAGTGCGCTCGCGGGAAGCTGTAAGCAGGGTGTATTCTGTGAAATTCCCTGAGGGTCCTCTCTATTCTCGGACTTCTCGGGGTTTGTCCTCTTTTCTTTTCTCCCCGGCTCGTCGAGGAGGAGCGGCTTCTTGGCGCGGGTTGCTGCTGGATCTGGGAGTTCTGGGGTCCTAGGCTCTGTTGGCCGCTTCCCTTTCCTCGTAATCCATATATGCTCGGGCCTTCTCGAGGAGAGCATCGAATGATCGGGGTGGTTCGATGCCCACCGCCTTTTTGAATTCTATGCTGGGGAGGAGCCCCCTCTCTAGCAAGTACCTTTTCATGTGGTCCGCGCAGGGGACCTGTATGGCTTCGCGATTGAAGCGATTGATAAATTCTCTCAAGGTTTCATCCTGTCTCTGGATGATAGCCTCGAGTGCTGCCTCGGTCTTTGGGTGTCGCCGAGACGCAGTGAACGAACTTATGAATTGATTCTTCAGGTTTCGCCACAAGGTGATTGATCCCGGGGCGAGGCCTTTATACCAATCCATTGCTGCCTTTCTGAGGGTCGTGGGAAATAACCGGCATTTGATGGGTCCCCCGACGTTGTGGTAATGCAGCATAGCCTCGAACCCGTCTATGTGGTCGACTGGGTCCACGACTCCGTCGTATTCTTTTAGATGCGGAGGCTTCTCCATGCCCGGGGGAATGGGCGCCTCCATGATGGCTTGTGAAAGGGGACCGCGGGGGTCGTCCTCATCACTTTGCTCTGGGGATAAGGACGGGGACCTGAGATATTGTCGGGCCCGATGGTCCTGGTCGTGCTGAATGCCCCTCGAGCGAGATGTCCGTTGGTCCGCCCTTCCGTGCCTGCCTCTAAGGTGTCTTCTTTCTTGCCGTAAGGGGCCGTGGTTGTGCCCTCCGGCTTCAATGACGGGTTGCCTCTCCAAGGGGGTCGTCTCTCCGATGGTCGGGGCGATGGGCTTCGGGAGGTGTCCCTGTATTGCCTCCGCATGAGAGATGGGAGACGTACCTCTGTTACTCGAGGAGGTGGGGTCTGAGGCCTCCTGTGCCTCCTCGGGGGTCTTCTGTCGTCCTCTAGTGCCCTCAATCTTTCCCCCTGGGAAAATATGAGGTAGTTGGTTTGGTTGATTGTCGCGAACAGCGCTCTGGTCGTGGCATCTGCCCCAGCGGGGACAAGGACTTCCTGGAATTGGGCAGCTAGATAGTTCGGGGGAGCCGTATTGTCTTCTTCGAGTGGAGGAGGGACCGAAGAAGATGAGGCAGTGGCTCCGTCGCGGTGGCCTGAGGGCCCAGGGATAGCGCCCCTAGGGAGTGTGTTATGGCCGGCGTTGTCGGGGATCCCGTTCTTATCCGCGAGGTTGTTGTTGGCATCGACGACGCGGACGTTCTGGTCATCCCGAACTTGGTCAGCCATGACGGTAGGAGGTGATTTTTAGCTTTGGTCTCCGAGAGTTTGTAAGACGGGGAAGCTAGTTTCCCACAGACGGCGCCGACGATCTTACCGGATCAGACTTGGATTGTCACGACTGGCTCGAGCAGAATTTGAGTGAGATAGGGGGTACCTGCAAGACACTCCGATGCTAAAATGAGTGACGGATGAGCAGGCAAAAAATGTATAGGTGCGTAATAGATGAATACCTGACCCTCTGGGAACATAGGATATTTATAGTCCCCAGCGCTGGGCCAAGGTCCCCTCATTAGGCTGACCAGAACTGGCCCAATAAAGGAACTGCCAGGTTCTACGTGCGTAGTGGGGCCCCGCACGTGGTCCCCTTCCTAGTGGTGCTCTGCGAAGAATGAGGAGGGACGAAGACGCGGTCTTTCCGGAGTTTAGAGGATTCGATAACGGTCAGATTGGACAGAATCTGCCCTACGGGGAGGGTGCTCGAGCAAGACTCGAGTTGGAGTTCCCTTGGTCGGGGACACCATGTGTCGCGGGCAATGGCGGGCATCACGACTACGTTCTGTGGTCGGGCACGTCAGCGGTGATCGCGGGCGCGCATTTCTCGAAGAGTCTACTTGGATTGGGCCTTTATCTACGATTTGGGCCAGAGTGGACCCAGTCCAGAACAAAAATCAATTTCTTAAATCCAATGTAAATTTTACTTAATGTTTATCAAATTTTATAAAGAGGATATGCCACTTAAATGTGGCAGATTATCAAGAGGATTACACTTATGAGATGGTAAAAACAATTATATTCCTATGGTAAAATTCGTCACGGACATGGATATGATGATTTAATGGATATTTATAAGTAAAGTAAATTGATATTTAATTATTTATTTATTTATCGTTACGAATATGAATTTGATGGTATTCGTACCTGCATGTATTTGTATCTGTTAATAATTAGTAAAAATACTTATTAATTAATTTGATAAAAATTTATTATAAATATTACTATTATTATTATTATTGTTATTATTTTGTTAAATATGATATTATTATCAATATTATTATTATTATTTTGATAAAAGAAGAAAAATAAATATAGTTTATTTTTATTATTATTTATCATGTGTTAAATTTAAAAATAATTTTTTTGTTATTAAAAGGGATAAAAAATTTATTATTTAAATTTATTTATTTTTAAATATATTTAAATAATATTACTTATGAATATTCTTAAATACTTAGAAAAATCTTAAAATTCACATATATTCATCTAACGAATACCCACACGAATATCAAATATCATATTTATTAAATGGGACGAGAGATTACTCGTACCGATAATTACACCTTGCGTCAAAGCATATACTTTGTTTGAATGACTTGTTTTGCAATATATTTAAAAAAGAAAACATAAAATTAGATATTAGAAGTGGCGGAGCCAGCGCTCGGTCAGGTAGGACAACTGCCTAGGCTCAGGCTTTGTCCGGCCACACTTCACCATTCCGCGTCAGAGATCTGCTATGGCCATCCTCCATCACACCATACCATACCGCAAACAGACGCACACCGCGACTCCACTCTTGTCGTTCTGGTTTCCGTTCAATCAACTCACAGTGAGCATCACTTTCCTTTATGTCTTAGTTTTTAATCCATTTTTTATGTGAAATTTGAGTCTCATCATCCTTTGAGCCTCACCGATAAAATTCCTCCGCTGGTTCTTTCTTCTTGTTGCTTCTGTTTCAGTTCAATTCTCGCTACATCATTGTTGTTGTGTTGTTATTTGTTGCAGGTTTTGGTTGACGAATTGATGGAGAATTGGTATCGAATTTGTCCTATGCCCACCAAGTGTTTGGTAAAAGTTGTGAACCGAGATTCTTCTCCTTTATCTTGTTTCTTTGTTGGATTTTTGATAATTGAACCTTGATTTGTGATGTTGCTTTTGGTATTGAATTCTTGAATTGCCACACTTGATGATTTTTATTTTTTTATTCTTGAAGGTTATGTGAAGATGGTTATGGAGAAAGAAGAATGGTGTTTATTAAAAAATTATGGTGATTACAAAGTGTTACATATTTGTGGCACTTGGTTTTGAGTTAAATATGTTTGAGCATTCTTTTGATTGTTAGTGAGTGGTGTTATAAGTGTGCTCCACACATAGCAGTCAACTTTGTCTTACATGAGAGGACAAAGCATTGAAATAGACAACCATGTGGTTTGAGACAAAGTTCCACAGCTGGAATTATACACCTACTGTCAGAGTCTTTATAGAACAGATTGCAGACATTCTAACAAAATCTTTGCACTCGGGTCCTTTTGCTAGTTTGCAAGACAAGCTTGGAATGATTAATGTGCATTCCAATTTGAGGAGAATAATAATTGTGACAACATTAGGAAATTAGTTAGTAGCATAAGATGTTAGTTAAGAACTATTTCAACCACAATATTAACTGTTGTAACTGCATAAGAACTATATTAACTATTGTAACTGTTTTTTTTTAGAAACTAGCTATGAGTTATTACGTGTTCATTAGTTCAATGTCTATACTATACATGTTTGATTCCTATATTACAAAGAGTAGATTTATTGAATAAAACTATGATTTCTTCTTCATTCTCTCCTTTCATGGAGCTCTAAGTTTCAGTTTTCACAATATGTATGTATTATATTAGCATATTCAGATAGCATAATGCATCTATATATTTATACGTAAATTAGTTAAATATTACTAAAAATATATACATGATTCAACTATACAACTAGTACCCCTCTTGTAACCAAATTACAACAAGCAATGAAGCATGTGAGATCTTGGAGTGTAAGAAACTACACTCCAAAGACAAAAAAATTACAGCAAATGGCCAAACCAGTGCACTAGAACCCATTAAGGAACTCTCATTTGCCTAAAGTTATTACATTGTATGGCGGCCATGGCCATGGCCGTCGTTCTTCTCTTTAGTCGGCCGTTTATCTTGAATTTCTTCTAAATCTTCATCCTCCCCTCTCCTACCTGCTTGCTCTTTCCAATAAGCCACCAACTTCTTCAGTCGAGCTATCTCTTTCGACGAAATATTTTTACTTGGGTCATTCACAATTGACCTAACTCTCGACGCATACCTAGATTGTTAAAACATGAAAGAAATTAGCTAAGCTATACAATTGTAAAATGTGAAATGTTTGAAAAGGAGAGAAGATGAAAAAAAAACATACATGAGAGAGTTATGTGTCTCGTCCAAGCTTGATTCTATTGGAGATACATTGACAAACATGAGAGTTTTGGCATTGCCTCCAAGTGAATCACTCATCAACATAGTTAACTTGTGATTTCTATAAGGTATGTGTTGACCACCAGATGATAAAGCACTAATAACATCACCAAGTGCTGATAATGATTTGTTTATACTTTGAGCTTCTTTCAGTTGACTACCCTCAGATCCTGACTTTTTAATTCTTTCTGAGCCAGCAAGATCCACAAAACTCAACTGCGAGTTCAATAAAAATACATTAACTTCCACAATGCTTCAAGATGTTACTAACATATATATAGTTATCAAAGACGTAAGACAACTAATACCTTTCCTTTTGCAGATGATTGACTTTGAAGGTTGACACTTTCAATTACTATAGATAATATAAGATGAGATCTTGAACTTTCTTCATTCATTTGTGTCCCCGAGGTATGTCGTCGTTCAGAACCCTTTTGTATTATGCTATTCAATTCATCCACGGTAGAAATTGACACGGTCGTTACATTTTCTACAGTTACCATTCCCTAACATCATAAGAACAAAATAATGTAAATTAAACCATTGCAACTTGAGCGACAAATTTTATAAAATAAAAAAGAATAAGTTCATAAGTTTGAAGACACTTTAAATCCTAGTGAAAATCACCTTTGAATCCTTCTTAGTCTCCAATTTTAATCGCTTTGCATTCTTAGGTAACAAGAGATCTACAAGTGTATCTTGATATAATTCTAACATATACGCCTGCATCATAAACAATTGTGTGTGTGTATTCAATGGATGTAATGATATAAACTTTTTATAGATGCTGAGATAAGTATTTATTAAATTCCGTTTTACAATTGTACCTTCAAGGAAAAAGAAAACTTGTTACCATCTCTTTTTAAAATTCTAAAAAGCTCTGCAGTGGCACGTGGTGTAAGGCCAGGATTACTTTCGGATCCGTAGATTGTAAACGTCTTTCCAGAGCCAGTTTGACCATAAGCAAATACGCAAACATTATAACCATCTACAGCAGATTGCACCAAGTACTGTATTGAAAATTTCCAAAAGAAAGACATTAGTAACGGGCGTAAGAAAATAATAAATCTATTTCGATGTAAGCAACCATGATCATTGAGTAGTTATTATGCTGAGACTTGCCTTTGTATCGTCAAAAACATCTTCCTGAGATGCATCACAATTAAACACACGGTCGTATATGTGTTGTTTTGCTTTATCATCTTTCCACGGATGTTCAATAGTAAACTCATCTGCAGCAGTAAGTGCATCTCTTTCTTTATCGGCAATCTCTCTTTCAGAGAGAGGTCTTAGCCGACAGTAAACTCTTATTTTTCCTTTCATGTCTGAAATAAAGAACCAAATTCCGATGTTTCTATTAAGTCAGTTTTACATGTACTATACACATTCACACGTAGACAAAACACTTTATGTTTACCTTCTATGGTATTGAAATATCGCTTTCTGAGAACCTGTTCTTCTTTATAAAGCGATTCCATTTCGGCTAGTTGAGCTCCTTGCATCCTCAATAAGGAAGCTGTTTGTTCATTCTTTCTGTCGATGTCCTACATAAAAAAAAAGTGAAATTTGATAAATGAAATTATTTGCTTAGACACAAATAAAGCGAATATGTTGTAACTATAAAATAAAGTATTAAAAACCTCTTTCATTTCTCTTAAATCTTCTAATTCTTTTAAATTGTTCTTCAAAGCGGCCAATTCAGAGTCCTTCGCCAAAAGTGTAGATTCAGCCACAGCTAATTCTTGTCTAAGCACATCCAGTTTTCTTTCTAGATCTTGTACTTGAGAATTTTGAGTTTTGCGTTCTTGATCAAGTTTTCTTTGAATAATACTAATCTGCATTACACCCACCACCATATATGTTAATTGAATATAATTTTAAATATTAATATACAGTTCTCGATTTACCTCTTTAGCATTCTTTTTCTCATGCTCAGATAGATTATGTGTCAAAATCAACTTCTCATTTGTCAAGCTTTTGATTTTCCCTTCAGCTTCTATACACTCTTCTCTACAAAGTTTCAAATCGTCTTCAAGCTTTTGCAATGCCTGTTAGGAACCAACCAAATTCCATATCTTAAAGGTGAAAATAGCTGATCAAGAAGAAGAAAAAAATACAAATAAATATCAGCAACAAAAAATATCTTACTGGATCATTTGCTCTGATAGAATCCTTTTTGGAAATTCCATCTATCATCAAACTATTCAACTTGGCTATCTTTGCTTCCAAACTCCTTTTCTCTAGAATTTTATCCTAGTAGATTTGTATAATCGTTAAGAAAGGTCAATATCTAAACGATAAAAATAAAACTGATACCATTAAGTTAAAAGCCAAGAGCTTTACCTGAAGTTCTCTATCTTTTTCATCGCATAGTGTTAAAAGCCTATCACGGTCATTTGCAACTTCTGCAAGACTATGCTCCAAAGTTGCTAAAGATTCTTTCGAGCATTCTAGCTCTTGAAGTACCTCCTCTACTTGATTTTGCTTCTCGTGCAATTTTTCCTGCAACTGTTCAACATGATTTAAAATATTATTTATTCATATGTAACTATTCTATAAAATCTATAACATACAGTATAATCTTAGACTTACTTGATCAGCTTTTCTTTGAGAATCTTCAACAGCTTGTGTTAATTCTTGAACACGTTTCTCATTCAATTCCGGATACTGAGGCTTGAAATCACTAGAAACCTCTTTATCTAATGAACCAGTAGGAGAAGATCGTGTTTTGGAATATCGGCGCAGCATTACATCGTTTATGTGTGTTTGAAGAGCTACACAAATTTCTTCACCCTACAATAAAAATGGTAAAATGCCGATAACATAAAATAACTCCGAAGTAAAAAAAAAAAAAACATTAATCAAGTCCAAAGTGAAAGATTGAGAACTTGATGAGTAGCATGTTAAACTTCAACGAAAGTGTTAAATTAGTACCTGCTTGGTTTCAAACTGGAATATATGAAGAACACCGGCAACTCGCATTTTAAAAAACACAGCAGTATTACTACTTCCAAATTGCATTATGTCTCTCAATTCAGCTGAGTGCAAATATTCCTTCGGAATGGGGCGAAAAAAATGAACCTAGGAGTAGGGACAATTGATCAGAAAATAAACATTTTATTAAAAACACAATCCATTGTTACATTATATATGGACATTGTAAGCTTTATGTTATTATCATTATGACATTAAATTGTTTATTAATCTTACCCCTCTCTTGTTAATTGCTAATATTATTCGTCCAGGAAGGAGTCCAATAGGATCATCAATTTTGCGAACATTGAAAAAAACAGAAAAACCATAAGGAAGTGTTCTTATTATATGCAAAAATTGTTGTCTTGCATCTTCTTTCGTCACATGCTCCTGAAAAAAAGGGAATACCGTCTTATCAATGATTGTTGAACATTAAAGAAAAATAACAAAATGAGGTTAGGTTCTTATACCAGTGAGTGATAGCAAGCAAGAATGTCCAACTCCCATTCGCGTCTTGCTCGAGTCATTGCAATTTGCCTGGGAAGAAACCGCTCGAGAAATGAATTCCAATCACTGATAAACACAGAAATCTCAGTCAGCTGCAGTCATAAGAACATCAATCAAAAGATGTTAAAATACTATTGGAAGATTAGTTTCAAGCAAGATGAACATTCAAAATCACCTACGCGCATGATTCAGGTCTTCTAACAAATCCAATCTCAGCCAAGATTTGCAATGCAGAAAGCTTTGATGCGTCATCCCTTCCAATAGGATAATTACCCAAAATATAATCATGCTGCAACTGTAACCATGTGTAGGAAACAGTTACGAAGTGAACCAAAAAATGTGACATTTCTGTAATTACTAGTGAGGATAAAATGAAACTTTTCTCAAGCTAAAGAGATCCTTAGATTGTCCGTGGTTCGGTTCAGGAAGGAAATCCAAACAGTTTTGTGAAACAAAACAAAAAGGCACACCTGTACATAGGACAGCTGCCAAAACATTGGATCTATCACGGCTTCATCCGATTCACGAAATAACTTTTTCTTAAATACAAGTTTACAGTGCAAAGTTTCTCCCTTGTTTCGATCTTTTACAGCCTTAAATTCAGCCAGTAAATCGCCAACGTGTTTATTATCGTCCAACCCAATGTACTCCTCTG